GCTGTGGCTCAAGTGGTAGAGCGCTAGCCTTGAGCTGAAGAGCTGAGGGACAGCACCCAGGCCCAGAGTTCAGGACCCATAACCGGACCCCCCCCCCAAAAAAAAATCTGGAGAAAGTCATATCAATGGAAGATATTAATGTCAAAACACAATTTCCTCAGGGAAATTATAAGTCAAAAACCAAAGCTATGGGCTGGGAATGAGGCTTAGTGGTAGAGTGCTTGCCTAGCATGCATGAAGCCCTGGGTTCAATTCCTCAGCACCACATAAGCAGAAAAAGCCAGAAGTGGCGCTATGGCTCAAGTGGTAGAGCATTAGCCTTGAGCTGAAGAGGTGAAGGCCAGCACCCAGGCCTAGAGTTCAGGCCCCATGACTGGTCAAAAAAAAGAAAGAAAAGAAAAAGCCAGAAGTGGTGCTATGGCTTAAGTGGCAGAGTGCTAGCCTTGAGCAGAGGAAGTTCAGGGACAGTGCCCAGGCCCTGAGTTAATGCCCCAGGACTGGCAAAAAAAAAAAAAAAGCTAGATACAGGACAGAAATAGGACAAACATTAAATTAAATTAATTTTGAGATCAAGACACATACCAATATTGTTACTCATTATACCTTAAGAACATTTAATTTGCTGATTATAGTAACTATCCCAAAGTAAGTTCCTGGAATAGTTATTACCTCCAGTAAGCTCTCAAGTTCTTCTTTCCTTTTATTTAAGCAAGATATCCATTGTTCAGAAAAAGAAACTATGTTCGTGTTCAGAGACTCACATCTCTGTTCAGACTGTTGAGATACAATTTTCAGGTCACTGTTGAGTGTATCACAGAGCTTCAAAGACTCTTCAACCAGTTTTGTACCTTCTTGGTTAAAATGTCTGAGTTCTTGTGATAAGCCATCAGAATCAGCAATCAATTTTTTACTGTGGGAAGTTGTTTTGTTGATTATGTCCTTGGATTTCCTGTAGGTACAGAGAATAACATTGTTAAGTGGGGAACTAAAGTTTTCAAAGGATATACTTCCTAAGATTCTGGAGCTCTCCAGTAGAAATCGGGAGGGAGGCAGTGTAATACACAGCTCATGTTCTTGATAGAATTTTCTAAACCTAGAATGGACTTGTCCGATCCACACTTGCCATTAACAACCTTTGGAAAAGTCATCTTTTCTCATGAAACCTTTCCTTAGACAGGTGGTTTTCCTTTGCATAGGTAGGTGGTGACCCAGAGTGCTTGGCCTGGACCCCATCCTTCCTGCCAGAGAAGGGACACCATACTTGAAGAGGGCAAAGAGACCAGAGCCCTTTCTGCTTCCTGTGTCAGTCCCCCAGGACACAACCTTAACTCCAAGCCACAAAACTACAACTACCAACAGACACCGGGACCAATATTAGTTGGGCATTGATTGGGCCCCTGCATTTCCCACAGTTATAGCTGATGGTAGAAAAACTGACCAGCTCACAATCTCCCCACACCACCCTCACCAAGGCTCACATCTGTCCCAGAGGCCTGAATGTGGCAGCTCCCCAGTTGTAGGAAGCAGAGCCAATCCAGGATTCCAGTGGGGAGTATTTCCCCACCCTGCCCTAGGGAAACCGTCCCCCTGTCCAAGGCTCACACCTGGCTTAAAGGCCTGAATATAACTCCTCACCCTGTGGGAAGCAGACACCAATCTGACACTCGAGACTGGAGTGGGCACCAGTTTAGGACTCAAGTGGGAACCTGCCTTCCTCTGAGGCTCATGTCTATCCCAGAGGTTCAAATGCTGCTCCCCACCCCATAGGAAGTAGACACTAGTTCAGGACAAGTTGGGACCACTCCCCTTAATACATAATGGGAATCTGCCCCAACTCCCAGGGCTCAAACAAGGTCCAGGTGTTGGAATGCTGCTTCTGGCCTCTCTGCAAGGAGATGCCAGACCAAAACTCTGACCAGGACAACCTTCCCACTAGGACTAGCGGGAATCTTCCTACCTAGACACAGATCCATGCCAGAACACTAGACTGTGGTGCACCCACCACAAGAAAGGAACCTGCAATATTGGTATCTGATAAAATAGATTTTTTTCTCTCTTTCTTTTTTTAGTCAGTTGTGGGGCTTGAAGTCTGGGCCTGGGCCCTGTCCCTGAACGTTTCAGTTCAAGGCTAGTGCTCTACCACTGTGAGCCACAGCAACACATCCAGTTTTCTGTTGGTTAATTGGAGATAAGAGTCTCCCAGACTTTCCTGCCCAGGCTGGCTTTGAACCATGATCTTCAGATCTCAGCCTCCTGAGTAGCTAGGATTACAAGAGTGAATTACTAGCACCAGCTTGTTCTTTTTTTTTTTTTTTTTAATGATTCTGGATTCTGTCTTCTTTTCTTTATGTATGATATCTTCATCTGTATGTCTTCAGGATGGTAGCAGGGAAGGTACAGAACTCGAGTGAAAATGGGTGAAAAAGTACATCAGTAGAGGCTGACTGGAGACTAATGAATGTGAATATACAACCTGTGGGTGGAGATGGGAGGGAGGGACTGAGAGTGAGGGAACAGAAGACACTGTACAAAAAGAAACATATTCATTACCTGACTCATGTAATTGTAATTCCTCCATACATCACCTTTATAATAATAATAAGTAAAAAAAGAAGCCAAGTACTAGTTCCAAAAATAATCAGCAAAAAGCAGGACTGGAGCGTTGATTTACATGGCAGAGCACCAGCCAAATAAGCAGCAGGCCCTGAATTCAAATCTCACTACTAGAAAAAAATAATTAAAAAGAACTTACCGCTCTGTATTTTGTTGAACACCACTAAGTGGTTTCTGAATGTTTTCACACTTTTCTTCCAAAGCAGAGAATCTGTCCTCCCAAAGACTGACTAACTGGCAGAGTTCCTATAGGGAAAGATATAAGAAAGGAAGACAATTGAAATTATGACTTTGAACATTTTCTTCAGTTCATGACTGATGACAAAGAAGCATTCTCCCATAGGTGAAAATTAGATAAATTATTGATGAGGTCTTTAACTCCATCTCCACACACACTGGAAAGCAGTGAAAGTGAGGTTAAAAGATTATTATTAAGGCATCTTTTTTTTGCTGTCAGTCGTGGGGCTTGAACTCTGGGCCTGAGCACTGTCCCTTAGCTCTTCAGCTCAAGGCTAATACTCTCTCACTTGAGCCACAGGGCCACTTCTGGTTTTCTGGTGGTTTATTGGAGATCAGAGTCTCATGGACTTTCCTGCCTGGTCTGGCTTTCAACAGCAATCCTCAGATCTCAGCCTCCTGGAGTAGCTAGGATTACAGGCGTGAGCCACAGGAGCTGAGCTTATTAAGGGACTTTTAAAGTAAGTAATCAGCAGATTTTACTATTGTAACAAACTGCTCTCATTGTACTTCCAAATTAATCAATCACTTAGGTGGAGAAGGATTTAACAGATAAGATACACAGTGGCTTTTTTTTTTTAAACTGGTAACACCACTAGCAGGGAAAGTTGATGCTGGTGACCTAATGGTTCAAACAAGCCAAACATAGCGATTATCTAGCTAAAAAAAAATCTGTACATAATCCAATTGGGTGATATTAATAAATCATAAATAGAAACTTGTTTGTTTTTGCTTTGGGGTATTTGTTGGGGGTGGGGGAATAAGGGAGGTACCTCAGAAAGGGAGGGAGGAAAAGGGAATAAATGCAATCAGGCTATTCATGATACACTACGTAGAAAATGACCTATATAACTTTGTGAGCAGGGAAGGGAGGGAAAAACTGGGGTAAAACAAAGGAAGGGGTGACATTATAAGAAAAAATGTACTTCATTATCTGACTTATTCTGTTCAACACCTTAAAGATAACAATAAGATTTTATTTTTTTAAAAATTGCCAGGTGTTGGTGGTTCACAATGTAATCCTAGCTACTCAGGGGGTTGAGAACTGGTGAAGCTCACAGTTCAAAACCAGCTCAGGCAGGAAAGGCCATGAGACTCTTCAACACACTACTGAGAAAAAGCTGGAAATGGCACTATGGCACAAGAAGCTGAGGGATGAGGGCTGGGAAGGTGGCTCAGTGGTAGAGTGCTTGCCTTGCATGCATAAGGCCCTAGGTTCGATTCCTCAGACTATATAACATTTTTAAAGTTTTTGTGATTAAAATATAATCTTCAGCTACCTAGAAAAGTCTGTTACATGTGATACTTCATTTTTCACTGATATTTAGTGAAATATTTCTATTGTATTAAGAATGAGTTATCGGGCTGGGAAGGTAGTCAGTGGTAGAGTGCTTGCCTTGCTTGCATGAGGCCCTGGGTTCAATACCTCGGCACCACATAAGCAGAAAATGCCAGAAGTGGTGCTGTGGCTCCAGTAGTAGAGTGCTAGCCTTGAGCTGAAGAGCTGAGGGACAGCACCCAGGCCCAGAGTTCAGGCCCCATGACCGGCACAAAAAAAAATTGAAGCTCAAAGATATCATCCAGGCCTTGAGTTCAAGTCCCAGGTCCAGCACACACACACACAAAAAAATAATAATGAATAGTTTTTTTTTTGGGGGGGGGTCCGGTCGTGGGCCTGAATTCTGGGCCTGGGCGCTGTCCCTCAGCTCTTCAGCTCAAGGCTAGCGCTCTGCCACTTGAGCCACAGCGCCACTTCCGGCTTTTTTCTTTTTGCTTAT